GTCTGAGGCCCTGTGGGAAGACGAATGGAGGGATATCTTAGCCATCACAAGTGATCATTCCCAAAACCTTCGTAATCACCATTAGACTCATCCAATTCTTTCTGAATCCTCTGCACTGTCCTCGGACTGACACCTAAATACTCTGAAATGTTCGTATTGGATTTTCCGGTGCGAATGCCAAGCAGTACGGCATGCCGTTTCCAAACAGCTCTTTTTTCTCACAGACGCTGCCCAAACGACTTTACTATACTGTGCAGTCGACGAGATCAAAGACAAACAACGCGCCTGCGCGAAATAAAAAATATAAAATGGCAACAATGTACCCATCGCATCTTGTAGAAAAGGCGCTATGTTACAGCTGTGGAAACGTGGCTAAAGCAGAGATGCCAAGTCAAGACCTATAACATTGCAGTTTGTTTGCGTTTTATCAAGAAGCTCTAAATTTATAGCAGGAGCACTAGACCTGATGTGACAGCAGTATTCTAAGTAAAGACAAATAGTCGACTTATAATTATGTAACGGTCAGGAAGGCTTGTCAGGAGCAGAAATGCTTCGAAAGTCTTTGACGCAATACAGCGACAGTTCCCTGCCGCATAGAAGTGTGGAGGGGTAGATCGAGAAGTTTTAAAATGGCTGGACAAGCATGGCACGCTAAGAAGAAGCAAGGTGCACTTCAACATCCATCACGGACGAGAAAATTTAACAAACTTGAAAGATCGGCGAGTTATCATCGATGAGGTAGCATGTTCTCTGTAAATCCGGTTCACTGCCCTTTGTCCCTCCATGCAGCACACTGCTAGCGGAGCGGCCATGTTTACACTGTAACAGCAGCAAGAAAACTGGCGCAATCAAGCTCAAACTTCCATCACGTGACCACAATAATACGAAACTATATTCACGCATGAGCAGAAGGCAGCATAACAAACCCAAATATATGTTATGGTGAACGTGTGGATATTTTTATACTTAAGCTCGTAATTATCAACAACACAAAGGTATCTTTCTATATTTCTGAGATGAGGTATTATATACACAATTTACATTGTTCGGACTTTTGTCCTCATCGTTATCGCCATATTTATTACACCGTTTCGGCCGTTGTACGCTCTGGCCTTCTTCAGGTGGTTGGAATGTCAAATTGGACCCCTTATTTCGCTGATTGGGGTCGCGGAGACATTAGGTTTATAATACCCAGAAATTCGTACACGTGTCCTCAAGAACACATGGCACGTTGGTTAGATCCAGTGACAGGACCCAAACAGTGAGAGTTCAATACTCGGTTAAGGCAGTGGAGAACTTGAAAAGGGAAATTAACAGAAGATAACTGTTAAATGTCATCCATTAGACATGGCTCGTGAAACTAGTGAGCGAAATAAAGGGTTCAGTTCGACATTCCAACTACCTGAAGAAGGCTGAAGCGTACGGCGGAAACGTTGTAATAAATATGGCGACAACGATGAGGACAATAGTCGGAATAAAGTAAAAAGTGTACATAATACCTCATCTCAGAAATATAGACAGATACTGAAAGGCCGAAACGTTGTAATAAATATGGTGACAAAAATGAGGACAATAGTCCGAATAATGTAAATAGTGTATATAATACCTCATCTCAGAAATATAGATTGAAAGTAAAGGGCCGAAACGTTGTGATAAATATGGCGACAAAGATGAGGACAATAGTCGGAATAATGTAAATAGAGTACATAATACCTCATCTCAGAAATATAGACAGATACTGAAAGGCCGAAACGTTGTAATAAATATGGCGACAAAGATGAAGACAATAGTCCGAATAATGTATATAGTGTATATAATACCTCATCTCAGAAATATAGACAGATACTGAAAGGCCGAAACGTTGTAATAAATATGGTGACAAAAATGAGGACAATAGTCCGAATAATCTAAATAGTGTATATAATACCTCATCTCAGAAATATAGATTGAAAGTAAAGGGCCGAAACGTTGTAATAAATATGGCGACAAAGATGAGGACAAGAGTCCGAATAATGTAAATAGTGTACATAATACCTCATCTCAGAAATATAGACAGATACTGAAGGACCGAAACGTTGTAATAAATATGCCGAACGCAATAAAAGTCAATAAACGAAAAAGGATAAAAACATGTCGTTGTTAAATGTTCTAAAATAGAATACCAAACGGAAATCAAAATATGTTTTTTTTAGAAATAGAAGAAAATTTCATTTTTACCTTATTTACATTCGGACTGTTATCTTCATCTTTCCATATTCACAACGTTTCGGCCGTTGTCAGCTCCGGCCTTCTTCAAGTGGTTGGAATATCGAACTGAACCCTCAAGGACACATGGCACAGGGGATAATGGCGTTAGTCAGATCCATTGACAGGACGCAAAAGAGTGTGAGTTCAATACCTGGTTAACGCGGTGGAGAAATTGTAGAGGGGAATTAACAGGAGATAACTGACATCCATTAGACATGGCACGTGGAACTAGAACAGTCTACCCCAGTGAGCGAAATAAAGGATTCAGTTCGACATTCCAACCACCTGTACAACGACCGAAACTTTGTCATAGATATGGCAACAAAGATGAGCAATTTAAATAGTGGTTCGGTCGTTGCGTGCTCCGGGCTTCTTTAGGTAATTGGAATTTCGAATATCTCTGAGATGAGGTATTATGATAACTTACATTATTTGCATTATTCGGACGGTTATCCTCATCTTCATTGCCATATTCTCAAAGATTCGGCCGTTGTACGCTGTGGCCTTCTTCAGGTGATTGGAATTTCGAACATATCTAAGATGAGATATTATGATTATTTGCATTATTTACATTATTCGGACTGCTATCTTCATCTTCATTGCCATATTCACAACGTTTCCGCCGTTGCTTTCTCCGAGCTTCTTCAGGTGATTGGATCTCAGAGATGAATTATTATGATTACTTGCATTATTTACATTATTCGGACTGTTATCTTCTACTTCACTGCCATATTCACAACGTTTCGGCCGTTGCTTTCTCCGACCTTCTTCAGGTGATTGGATCTCAGAGATGAACTATGATTGGAATTTCGAACATATCTAAGATGAGGTATTATGATTTCTTACTTTATTTAAATTGTTCGGGCTGTTATCCTCATCTTCATTGCCATATTCAAAACGTTTCGGGTATTGTACGCTTCAGCCTTCTTCAGGTGACTGAAATTTCGGTTCGAAATTCCAGTCACCTGATTTCGCCCACCGGGGTACATACATGGCGCAGTGGATAAAGACGTTGGTTAGATCCAGTGATTAGACCAAAGGAGTTGTGAGTTTAAGGCCGCAACAGTGGTGAACCAAAAAAATTGGTTAAAAGGAAAGAAGTGAGACATCCAGAAGAGACATGGCACGTAATATTAGAACAATCTACAAAGTAAAGGGTTCGGCTGAAAATTCCAATCACCTGAAGAAGTCCAAAGCGTAAAACGACCGAAACGTTGTGAATATAGCAATGAAGATGAGGACAACAACCCGAATAATGTAAATCACTAACGCCTGCTTCTGTGAAATGGAAACAGCTGTTTAATTTTAGGGAAAAGAAGTAAGCGAAATATGGTTCTACAGAAGGATGTTGAGAATACCATGGATGAACATGTGAGCATCGACGAAATTTTAGAGAAAATCGAAACAAGGGCGCTTATACTTGACATCAGGATGAGACGGTTAACATGTGTATGGAACATAATGAGGAAAGACGGCCTGGGAAATTTGATACTCACAGGACAGATTGAAGGCAAAGAGAAAAAATGGGGGAAAAAAACGTATAAATTACCTAGCGACATTGAGTAAACCGATGGCGGAGCAAGGTTTTTAAGAGTTACAAAAAAAATAATGTTCTTAAGTGCTACAAGGACAGAAGATTTCGAAAATCATGATCTCCAACGCTCTGAAAGGAGATGGCAAATGGAAGAGTACGGTTTTTTTTTTCTTTTTTTAAGAAGCAATGCGTCAAACAATAACTGAAAGCAGGAGAATGCTTTCACGTCCTAAAACACAATGGCAGATATGAAGAATTTCTTTTTCGCAGACAAGATGGCGAACAGGTCTTCAACGAGTGGTCGGATGCGAATGCACAGTGTAATCCGTGTTTTGAACTTACTATGTTGGTTTTGCGGAAGGAAGGCCTTTTGGCGTCGTCAATGTCTTTGGTTAAGGGCGGAACTGGAGGAAGAGTGGAAGGAAAGGAAGTCTGGGAAGGTTTTTTTTTTTTTTTTAATTGTGTAGATGAAGATATAGAAAATAGTAGCTGGCCGGGTCTTCGATTGCCGGTGTGAAAACGTCTGTTAGATTTACAAAAGTGTATTCGACTTTTTTTTGTCTTGTTTCTTGGACAAAATGAAAAGCAACCGAGAGAAATAACACAATAGCCGACAACAACAGGCGTCTCTTCGCTTCCGTTTCCCTCTTCTTTGTACTTCTGATTCTTCTTTGGGTTGAGGCTGGGAGGGCGGCCGATTATCTCTCTACTTAATTCTACTTTTAATCATTGAATACGTCTTTCAAGATACATTATGGTCTCTTCTTGGCAGAGTTTTTTGTTCAATTCTGCTAGAGTCCACGTTACTACGGGGGAAAGACTGAGAGAAGACTGTGCGTTGCCTATTTACTGAATGGGAAGGGGCTTATCTAAGTTTTCATACCGCAGGTTAAAATGGTGAATTTTACTCGAAATGAACGGGGGAAAATTGGCAAAAACAAAAGTTGGAATTAATTAGGGAATAGAAGAAAAATCGAAAAAGGTAAGTAAAAATGTTAAAGAATAAAAAAAAATCATTTGAAGGAGAAGAAGGCAAAAATACAAGAATGTAAAAAGTATTTGAAGGAAAAAAGAATTTGAGGAACAAGCATTTGAAGAATAATCATTCGAAGAATTTGAAGAAAAAATGAAGAATCTTTTAGAAAACGAGTTGAAGAAGTAAGCATTTGAAGAAGAAGTATTTCATGAAAAATATGAAGAAAAAAGTGATAGTTAAAATCTAGGAAAAATGAAAGAAAATTATGAAGAAGAAACAGTAGAAAAAGAAGAATTCGAAAAGAAAAAATTCATAGGCAAAAAAAATTGCAGCAAAAGTATTTGGAAATAACTGAAGAAGACGAACAACAACAAGAAGAATGGGGAGGAGTAGAAGAAGAAGAAGAAGAAGAAGAAGAAGAAGAAGAAGAAAAGGAAGAGGGGAAGAAGAGCTGAGGAAAAAGAAGAAAGTATAGACTTCGATAGAAGAAGAAGAAGAGGGAGGGAAAGAATGGTAAGAAGAAGAAGAAGAAGTTAAAAAAGAAGAAGAAGAATAGGGAGGGAAAGAATGGTAAGAAGAAGAAGAAGAAGAAGAAGAAGAAGAAGAAGAAGAAGAAGACGCATTAGAAGAAGAAAAAGTTAAAAATGAAGAAGAAGAAGAATAGGAAGGGAAAGAATGGTAAGAAGAAGAAAAAGAAGAAGAAGAAGAATGGGTAGAGGAAGAAAGGTATGTCGTAGAAGAAGAATAAGAATTTGAAGAAGAATTCAAAGAAGAAAAAAACAAGAAGCATTCGAAGAAGAAAAGAATAGGGAGGAGACGAATGGTGAATGGCAGTTTAATAAGGTTAAGAAAAAAAGGTGAAAATTAAGGCCAAAATCCAAAAAGAAAGGATTAAATTGGTCGGGTGTTTTGTTTAGTGACATATCGACACCTATGTGGGTTTTGTCATGGCGAAATATAAATATTCCTTGAATTTTCTTTTTCTGGAAGGTGATAACAATGGTTTTAGGCACACAAGCCTTACGTATTATCGCATAGCTGGTGGGAGGAGGCGGGTTCATACCTTGACCGAGGCTATTTGTGAATAGGTGAATATAACGAGCCAAAGTGAGATTTGAATTCGGCTCTTCGATGAACAATACCATGTCTTTTTGCATTACATCACCCGACCACCCACGATTACAAGAGGTGGTATTCCCAGGGGGTGGGGTCACCCGTCTAGATACTTACTATGCTGGAGTTTGATTAACTTTAGTGATAGTACGGGAGCAGGTATTTCAACGTTATGTGGCTGTAAGAAAGAAAGAAAGAAAGAAAGAAAGAAAGAAAGAAAGAAAGAAAAAGAAATTTAGGAAAAAAGAAAGAACGAAAAAAGAAAGAAGAAAAAAGAAATAAAGAAAGAAAAAAGAAAGAAAGAAAGAAAAAAGAAAGAAAGAAAGAAAAAGAAGAAAGAAAGAAAAAATAAAAAAGAAAGAAATTATGAAAAAGAGGGAAAAAATAATTGAACAACGAATACAAAAGATCACTTGAAGGAGAAGAAGAAATACATAGCAAACACTTTAAAGAAGAAGAAGAATTGGGGGAGAAAAAGGAAGAAGAAATTGTAGAAAAGAAGAAGAAAAATGGGAAGAAGAAGAAAAAAAGAAAGAAAAAATAATTTGAGAAGGAAACAGAAGTAGAAATTGTAGAATAATAATAATAATAATAATAATAATAATAATAATAATAAGAAGAAGAAGAAGAAGAAGAAGAAGAGGCAAATGAAAAAGAAATTTTAGAAAAAGAAGAGGAAGAAAAAAATTGAGGACGAAAATGAAGAAGAAATTGTAGAAGAAAAAGAAGAAGAAGTGGAAGAAGAAAAAGGTGAAGATTTTGTGGGGAAACAGAAGTAGAAATTGTAAAAGAAGAAGAAAAAAGAATAGGAAGAAAAAAAAAGAATTTGTGGAGGAAAAGGGAGAAGAAATTGTAGAAGAAGAAGAGGAAAAATTTGACGAGAAAAATCCAAGAATAATGAATAACAATTTTGAAGAAGAAAACTTATTAGACAGTTGACAAAGGGAGATAACCGAGATATTCAGAAAAGGCATGGCACGTGGAACTAGAACAATCTATCCACGGTGGACGAAATAAAGGATTTAGTTAAATATTCCAATCACCGGAAGATGGACGGGGTGTACAACAGTCGAAACGTCGTGAATTTGGTAATAAAGATGAGGACAACTAACATAATAATGTAAAATAATGTAAATAATTACAATGCCTCATCTCAGAAATATAGACAGATACTGAAGAAGGCTGGAGCGTACAAGAGCCGAAACGTTGTGAATTTGGTAATAAAGATGAAGACAACATTCCGAACAATGAAAATAAAGTAAATAATTACAATACCTCATCTCAGAAATATAGACAGATACTGAAGAAGGCTGGAGCGTACAAGAGCCGAAACGTTGTGAATTTGGTCATAAAGATGAAGACAACATTCCGAACAATGAAAATAAAGTAAATAATTACAATACCTCATCTCAGAAATATAGACAGATACTGAAGAAGGTTGGAGCGTACAAGGGCCGAAACGTTGTGAATTTGGTGATAAAGATGAGGACAACAGTCCGAACAATGAAAATAAAGTAAATAATTACAATACCTCATCTCAGAAATATAGAGAGGTAAACGCCCACACTGAAAACAAGATTGGAGTCTCGAATTATTGTACTTCCGAAAACACGAAAAGAAGAGGAAAATCCTGTGCGTTGTGCAACAATATGAGTCAAGTTAATTTTATCACAAATTCAAAGAGAAACATCACGATTTCTACAGAAAGGTGGCAATTGTATTGATTCTTATTTAATATACGCCACCCAATGTACCAAACATGTCTTGATTTATGTGGGTTGAACAAAGAAAAGATTCAATGGACACAGGTATGATGTTAGACAAAACAAAGTAACATCAACAAAGCTTGTAGAACATTTTATTACAAACGATTGTAATTTCGACAAACATCTCAAGGTACACATTCTGATAAAAACATTCAAAATCTAACGACCTTTTGACCCTTAAAACGCATGACATTCATCATCATCATCATCATCATCATCAAAACTGTTTTGATTTGAGGTTATGAATTAACATGTTTTCTCATCTTCTGTGACATTGTATACTGATTCGACAATATTTTGTCAACCTTCTCTGTCCTCTGCTAGTCTGCGGATTTCTTGCAGATTTTCCTTGATTGTAAACTTCACCAAAGAAAAAGTGTGATCATCCTGCTTTGTTCTTTGAATGCATCGGATCATCCTTAGAACTATGGTATATCTTGGATAGAACTTTTTCAGTCCGTCTTTTCAAAGTAAAACTCCATGGCTTTGTTATCTGGGCATTCTTGATCCATTCGCAAAATAATCCGAATATTGTCTTTCTCACTCTGCAACGTCTTAAATAAGTAGATACTACATACGAGTAACTGGAGCAGCCATTACCGATTCCGCCATTCAAATTTAATATGTCATTTTGATAATAATAAAAATTTTTTTTAAAATCCTTCGACCATTAAAACGTATGAGTATAGTGACCAATGCAAATTACTAACTTCCGGGCCCGGGGGGAATGAACAGGATGACAGGAGAGTTCCATAAGATTTATACTAAGCTGTTTAATTAATTCCTCTTAGTAAGTAATCAACTAACGGAAAATTCCGAGATGAACAAGATCACCATCATATTAACCCTTTAAGTCCTGCGTTCCTGAACAATTTTAACCCTTCTGTCTGAGCTCCTGAGTCAAAATTCGCAAATAATTGGTATCTAATGTTTCACGGTAGATATAAAAATAGTTACAAAAATATAAGCATTATACTTAGCAAGGAAAGAGTATGATTTCATGCCTTCACTTTATCGCCAGAATTCTTTCTTTGCGTGACAGTCTACCCAGCAAGTGCTACCTCTCTTGATACCCAAGAAGCGATGGCATGTTGTGCAGCGGACTGAAGACTTCACAGCCTTAAGAAGATAGTTTTTGTAAGCCACAGTTGTTGTTTTTTTCTTTTAATTTATTGTATTTATAAGAGCACACAGCACAGAGATTATTGGTGGAGGCATCTTCTGGTATGTCTGAGAGGTGGAGACCGACATTTTGCAGGCGTTCCAGAGCATCAGCATTGATCGGGTGCCTGTGTACTGCAGATGGCCAGAATGCACTCATCAGATTCCCACAGATCTAGGAACTTTCTGAAACTGAGGGACTTGGCTTGTTGGCGGAAAGTTGCATGGAACAAAGGAACAAAGCAATAGCAAAACACGACGCAAGTGTTTACCCACCGTTCAACCGGTGGCTGGGCATTAAGTCATTTGTCTCTACCACCGGTAAAGCGGTGGTCAAGTTTCAAAGGTTTAATGAGCTTCTTTCTTTAGCCAAGCTTTAACAGATACTTGCAGATTTGTGACTTCAACACAACCATTGATGGTCGGGCACATCGGCACGACATAAGGGTTAGAAAGCCTGTCTCGCTAGATTAATTACGACAGAGTAATTACTTCGTCTATTCTCCCCAGTTATGGGTTGAATAGCAGGTTCTATAGCCTTGGTTGGCATTCAGTCTACTGCAAAAAGAAATGGTAACCTATTGTTGAAATATCTTTTTCCGAATTATGAATCGTAACAAACAAACGCGTATCACATATGGCACTTAACTAACTGAATAGGTGAGTTTGAACCTCATAGTGTGTTCCATATTTTCGACCTTGTGCCAAATCTATGCTACATCTAAAAAATAATTAGATGGATACCCCGACGCAGTTTAATGGTTAGCAAGCTTGTCTCGCTAGAATAATTACGACTGACTTGTGAGTTCGATCCTCACTAGGCGCTCCATACGTTTGGCCTTGTGCCACATCTAAACTACGCTTAGAAAATCTATGCAGCCATTGACAACAGTTTCGCCTTTCAATCTCAAGGCTAGAATCAACACTCTTACGTTTTTTTGTCTTTTCCGGGACATCTAAAATTTACCTTAGCCAGAGATTTTCTCCCCAGGGCGACATTATCAAGAACACACCCCTTTGAGTAATGGAAACACGGAGTGATTTGAAACCAGAGTCTCGTGGCCAGAAGATAAAATCATCTTATCATTCGACTATGTCCAGAGCTAATTAAACCGGTTTGATGCAAATTAGTAGAAAGAATGGATGATTAAACAATAGAAAAACATTAGCTTGTTGATTATCACCAACACCGAGACATGAACAGATTTGGAATTGTTCATCGAAGAGCCGAGTTCAAATCCCACTTTAGCTCGTTATATTCACAAATAGACTCGGTCAAGGTATGAACCCGCCTCCCCCACCAGCTATGTGATAATACGTAGGACTTGCGTGCCTAAAACCATTATCACCCCCCCACAAAAAAGAAAATGCAAGGAATAATTATATTTCGGCATGACAAAACCCACATAGGTGTCGATATGTCACTAAACAAAACACCCGACCAACTTTAATCCTTTCTTTTTGGATTTTGGCTTTAATTTTCACCTTTTTTTCTTAACCTTATTAAACTGCCATTCACCATTCTTCTCCTCCCTATTCTTCTTCTTCGAATGTTTTTTTGTTTATATATATATATATATATATATATATATATATATTATAAAGAATCATACATAGAATCAATTAGCAATTATTGATACGATTAATGGCGAAATCTCTTCGCTAATAGACTTAATATAAGCATTAAACAACTAACAATCCACTGAATGATGAGGTCCTTATGTATAAAATTGTTTTCAAATGGATCTAGTGTATTTCTTTATAGAAGCAAGTACTTTCAAGGACTTCATATCCTCATCATCAGGCTGTTTTTTTCTTCTTTTTCTTCGTCTTCTTTGAATTCTTCTTGTTCTTGTTCTTCTTCTTATTCTTCTTCTTCTGCCACATACCTTTCTTCTCCCCATTCTTATTCTTGGAGACAAGACACTGTAACAAAAAAGTATTCGTTGACGCCCAGAGAGAGTTTAGATGCTGTCTGCAGAATGGTTAGTGTGAGTACATACAAACAGACAGTTAATGACGTCGCTAGGAATGCCAAAACGGAGAAGGAAAATGGTAAATAAACGAGAAGAAAAACAATGAAAATCTGCGAGTGCTGACAACGTAGTGACCAATTCCAAACGGGGAATTGAATGGAAAAAAAAAACAACTTAATGAATTTCTTAACTGTGTTACATAAGTACGCTGTTAATTTGATTTTACGAGAGAGAGAAAAAAATGATTTCTTTGATTTTCGCAAAACTTAAAATAAATTGACATTAATTGAAAATGCGTTGACAAAGTGTAAAATTGAAATCAACGGCAGGGGCCCATAATCTAAGTTCAATCACTTCGAGTTAATTGAGGCATAATGAAAACTGAAGAAATTTACCCAATTAACTGGATCTGCTGATTATCCGGAGCGACATCTAAGCAATTTAAATTTTGTATTTTCTTTTCCGTTTTCAAGTTTGTATATTTGAATGTAATCCTAGAAAGAAGAGAT